GTTAAAGAATAGAGTAACCATTTCCCGTCCAACTTTACGTAAAAGATAGGGTGAAAATCATTTTCCTTCCAATATTTCGATTATCTTTGAACAATTCACATTTTCTCTTATATCATACAGAACGTCTATTGCATAGCCTATGCCCGACTCTAACTAATATTTTTTATTATATTTATATTTTTCACCTAGGTGCTTTAGCTATAATTTGAGAAAACTACATTAGTGTCTTGTGTTAATTACCTGACTTTTTCAATTTATAGAAAAAACTTCACTAATTTCTTGAATGGTGACAATAGCAATGCAGTTCTCCTTCCAAATTTTTATTTTTATTCCAGTTTCTCAACTTTTTGATAGTAGAACTTTACCTAATATTTAAGACTTTGAATTAAAAATTAAAACCTTCATATATGTTAATAAAGTTTTTCTTACAAAAAGAACCAAGGTAGAGTATTGTAACACATTGCTAATATTTGTTAACTACTTAACTTGAAGTAATCCATACCATTATAAATAAATATTACTTGCAAGTGTCCGTCGTGAAGCTAAAGGTATTATGCGTTGTAGAGAAAGATGGTCTAAGTTTTCTTATATTTGGATTTCTATTTTATAACCCAAACAAATTAGAAATTTAATTATTATATCAAGTTCAAAATAAATAGAGTTTCTTATCTAGACAATAAACAACTACTCAAGAAATTCTTTTATTCTAGCAATATTAAATTTATCTGCATGGAGATATTGCAGTCTACGTACTTAGAGACTAGTCAGATAAAACTCTTGCATAAGCTATACAATAAATCAAACGTGGATAAGAGATTACCCCATTAGTGTTTTTTGATGTGAAAGTGTCACGAAATAGATTATTTCAACTAAAGTTTCAGTTACGATACCAAAAGAACAGTATGAGTCATACTTCATACAGTATAAGTCATACCGTTCTATTTACTTCATTTACGATATGATTCATACTTCTTTACGAGAAAGTAAAATAAAAAATCTAAGTATATTAGTGGCTCAATAGATGCAACCACGCTATGGAGGATTTTCTTTGCTCTCAACCAAGGAATTTAAAAATCTTCCACTATACTATCAACTTCTGTATCTCCATTGTGTCTATTTCATTTCTTTATTTTTTTTTTTTATAGGTATGACCTGCTTTCCTTACAAATTAAAAAAAAACTTTCATGGATTAAAATGAAATAGATGCACAACAAAGTGTTATCTTCTCGAACTCTCTTGATTCAAAATTACTCGATCTCTTTCAGTCTTGCAAAACCTATTTCAAAGTTTGGACTAACACGAATACCTTATACATGAATGACTTTTAATGCATTTTAAAGCAGTGTTCGATATTGTTCACCTGCAACAAAATCATCAAGACATGACGACAATGTTCCTTCATCCCAACCTTGTTTCATAGAGATTTGGTGCACTAGATTTATTGAGTCTTTCTTTTATTTATTGTTGACTTTTATGTTAAAAAAGAATAATAACATGTTAGGATTTTCGATTTAATAAAATATTTTGTAGTTACCAACAAGGAACAAGTATTGAAGATCGTAGCTTATGAGCCAGACTCGAATGTTAGTGTTAAAAAGCAAATAATACCATCAATCTTGTTATTATTTTTCATGTAAGTTGATCTATACAAAAGGAATCTTTGAGCTATGTGCCTCCATCAACATTAACTATGTCTAAATTCAAAATTAGCAACAACATCAACCCAGTAGTAATACTACTAGTGGGTCTGAGGAGGGTAGAGTGTACGCAGACCTTACCCCTACCCGGGGTAGAGAGGCTGTTTCCGGGAGACCCTCGGCTCAGAGACAAAAAATCTATAACAACACAGAAACCAGATAAATAAAATCGGCACCGTAAGAGACAACAAATACGTGGAAGGGCAATAAGTATGTCAATAATAAAATTGAAAAATAAATAAATTATGAAAATAAAAATCGTGTGATGAACAACAATCGCTAGCAGACCTAGACCAAACTCTTTCAGACTAGCTGGAAAAATGCTCAACTACCCCCTAACCTACAACCGTAATGCTCGACCTCCACACCTCCCTATCCAGGGCCATGTCCTCGGAAATCTAAAGTTGCGTCATGTCTTGCCTGATCACCTCGCTCCAATACTTCTTAGGTCGCCCTCTAGCTCTTCTCGTACCTGTCAAAGTCAACCGTTCACACCTCCTAATTGGGGCCTCTAGGCTCCTCCTCCGCACGTGCCCGAACCATCTAAGCCTCGCTTCCCGCATCTTGACGTCCATGGGAGCCACGCCCACCCTCTCCCGAATAACTTCATTCCTAATCTTATCCAGCCTAGTGTGCCCACACATCCATCTCAACATCCTCATTTCGGTTACTTTCATCTTCTGGATATGAGAATTATTGACTGGCCAACACTCAGCTCCATACAACATGGCTGGTCTAACCACCGCTCTATAGAACTTACCTTTAAGTTTCAGTGGCACCTTCTTGTCGCACAGGACTCCAGACGCTAACCTCCATTTCATCCACGCCACCCCGATACGGTGCGTGACATCCCGTCGATCTCCATTAGCCGGATATATTAATTTTCTGCATCTATTTAGTTCTATTCAAGATTGTGTTTCAAGAAGTTCAATATTGAAAAGATTCATCATAATATCCTTTAACGATAGACAAATTCTACCATAATTTCCTTCGTTATTTGGAACTCGACCATTTCAAAGACATATTTCGGATAGCTCCATCAACTTCAAGAAAATATAGCAGTGGATAACATATGAAATATACTTATCATATGTCATGTGGTTTAATAGAGAACATTTTGCTTCTCTAGCTGGTAAAGCTTGTAACTTGTAAAGGTAGGACAAGATCTTTGGGTCCCAACTTCTTTTTTTCCTTTTTTATGAAAACCGTGGTATCTGGCCAGCTTGCACGCACCTCGACTAATTCATGCCAACCTTACATTTGAACTTTGATTAATGAGCCAATGCCCCATATTTAGAGGCAAAATTCATGGGGGGAGGGGACCTAAAAAATGGCATAAGCTGCTTTAGATCACAAACAATATATTCCTCAATGTACAAACACAACTTGAATGGTCATACATTCAAGACTCTATTTTTTCTCTTTCCTGTCTGCTATAAACTCCTCTACATTTATTCATCTAGTATAAAGTATATGAATCATAATACAAGAGAAGTGTCGTTCATAAGAATAGTATCGTTGAGGTTCAGAGATTTATCAAGCTAAAGGACTTCACCATTCCTTATTCTCCCAACCACTCTTCTAATTTCGCCTCTTTATCAGCTTTAAATTCTTCAAAGTTTTCGGATAAAGACAGCAGTTGATCATGAGACATGCTTTTGTTTACCTGTTCCTGTTGTGTCTCATCAGCAGTTTGACTTGACAATCTTAAGTCTTCACTATTCGCCCGTCCAAGTGAGGAAGAGGAGCTCACACCTGCAGCTAATAGCGTGTCATTTGAATGCATTACAGATGGCTCATCCTTGTCCGACAAAGATGGTTCGCTCTTTGCTGGTCGAGATTCTCCAGACTCTAACTGAGGCCACTTGAAATTACTAGCCTTCTGTTTTGCTGACCTGAAAACAGTTGAAAGATAACCGGCAGCTCTCTCATCGTCGTCTTCTGGACCTGTATTGCGACCCCAAGCAGCAGGACTCCAAGAGGTAGTTATACCCACTGGGAAACTTGAACGGGATCCGCTAATTAATCCTTTTTTTGGTTGCTTCTTTGAAATGACAGCTAGAGTATGTTTGAGATCTTTAATCATCTCGTTAGCAATCGGAAGGCCACACTCTTTCATTGACCCAATCACAATGATGGAATCCTCTAAGTCTTCTGTGTGCAGAATCATTTCGCGGGATTTCTCCTCAATATTGTTTTTGAGATTTACAAGGTTGGGTGCTGCTTTCTGGGTATGTTGTTGAATGTAGAAAAGCCCCACAGCAGGCTCATTTGCAATGAACTTTATCATGTCCGCCAAGGATTCAGTTATCTCTACAAAGCCGTCCACTGTGGAAAATTCATGCATTTTTTTGAAGGCCAACGGTTCATCATCACTGGTGGGGCAAGAAAATAATGAGAGAGCTTCTTCTTAATGAATAATCCAGCAGTTGGAAATGGAAAATTTTCTAACATGTAAGAATGGGAAGAATTGAAGTTGGTCGTCAGAAAAAATAATTTTGCAGATATATATGCAGGTATTAAATGTATCAAATGCCTATGGTGAATTTTCTTGTTAAAAGCACAAACATTTGATCCGTTTGATGTAATAAATTTAACCCAACTTTTGCGGGCAAAAGTAATTGTTTTTCCTTTCATTTCTCTGGTAAGCGGAGCAAATAAATATAGATCGGAGTTACAGTAAACATGGCCAGTTCAAATACACAGCAATCAGGCAGTTATATTAACTTCAATCCATAAGCCAACCTAATTTAAATTAGTCATAGGACATCCCTGATCTTTATGAATAAGTTGACCAGATTACTTAGTGGTTTGAATCACAAGCTGTGAAGTGCCATAATTTCTTTCCGACTGGGATTAGGGGAGTTATGATATGGAAGAAATCTCAAACGTAATAGGAAAAGTTATGGGGCACCAGTCTTCAATGGTCAGCAACAGAGACAAAAAGGAAGCTCTAAATATTTCTTATCTACAATAAAAAGTCATGCTAACTCAGGCTCTTTCCGCACACCAGAGGAAACATGAAATGCACTTTCCTGTCCCTAGCACGTAGCATTACAACTACCGGTTTTGCAGACAACTAATCATTCACCAACTCAAGATACAATTAAAGAATATATGCAATTTTGATCGAGAGATTTAGGGGTAGCAACTAGACACATCCTGAAGAAAAAATGCATCAAAGAATGGAGTGGACTGGTAAGTAAGATCCAGAATTTAAGATCTATGATCCCACAAAAGAAAGCAGAAAAGACAATACACATGCAATCTTGACATTCTTTTGACGGATCAAACTGATCTAAGGAACAAGTACACCTAAAAGAAGGAAGTTGTGAGATAAAACCACGGAAGACTTAAAGAAGCTACAGAAAAAAGACATGATGTGCCAGGTCACTTCAAGTTTCCTTTCCACATAAATAACCCCCAAAGTTATTTTCTTTACAACTTTCTATTTGCTGCACTCTTTTGTCTCCTTCAATATCAGCTAGTAACCTTCAGATCGGTTTCTCCCTTGCCAGTTTAGCTGATAGACCAAGTAATATGAATTACAGGCACTTCTAAGAGGAGATTAAGAATAAGACGTGAAAATAGACTGTGATAACCACATACCAAAACGCTGATGAGAGAAACCACAAGGAAAATCAACTTGTCAAGGAAAAGAAATATAAAAGAAAACTGAAACAATACCCCNCAGGGTTCAATTAACCAAAGCATAAACAAGGCCCAAACAAATGTTTTATCTACCTCGAGAGCAATATATATTAATGTCTTGGTTCTTTCAATTTGAGCATAAATTACAGTCTCAAAACATCAGCAGCTTGAAACTTCATCAGAATAGCATTTGATTTGACTATTGCAATTTGACTTGTTTCCGTTTGTTATCATCCTATTTTTCTTTAGACATTCATAAGCTTTATATGCAGTTTCATATTTTTTATTATCTTGTAAGAACGTATTATCTATTCTTGGCACAACAACTAGCAATAACAGATAACTAATAGAATGCAACTTATGGTCTAATAGAAATCTCAATTAATTAAATACTTCCTAACCAAAAGGAAAAAGAGAGAAAAAGGATTATAGTTCCTAATTATTTTTTTCACAAGTATCTTACTTGAACATAGATCATGTCCACCGAATACCGACAAGCTGATTTGAGTTTTGATAAAACACTATTATTTGCACAACCTGCAGAACAAAGTAGGTAACCATCAATTTAACATCCATAATTCATACTCCATTTGGTCAAATTTGCAAATATTTCCAGTTTTTGCAAGAATCCACTTAGAACTGTTCTGGAAAGAAAACAAGCTGAGGGTAAAGTGACCTAAAAGAAATCCTTCTACTTTGTTTGGACCTTAAATTCAAGGTTTTCTCTTTTTTCAGCAATAATAAGCTTTACCTAATTAAAAAACATAGTCAATTCAAGTACAAAAGAACCAACAACAACCCAGTGTAATCCCACAAAGTGTAGTCTGGGGAGGGCAGAGTGTATGCAGATCTTAACCCTACTTTATGAAGATAGAGAAGTGATTTTCGATAGACCCCGGCTCAAGGAAAAATGAAAAAGAAGCAGAAACAACAACAACAACAAGATAAGATGATAGAATAACCGAAGCGAAAGAAACAACATATAGTTAAAAAAAAATTGCTGATAAGAAGATACAAAAATACGAAACTAATACTAATGCTACCTGCATGAACCGTTTACTGATTCTAAATTAGTACCTTTTTAGATTACATTCTTGGTTTTTCCCCCTATCAATGCAAATCTATAGCCTGTAACAAAAAGAAAAAACCAAGATTCTATTTGACCTGGAGAAAACCTAAATTACCGCAAAAAACAAGGGAACAGTACACCTCAATTAATCAATCAATCAACGAATATCCAACAAAATATAACAGAAATCCACTTCGCAAAAAACAATTTTTAGCTCAAATTTTCTATCAATTAGCCAATTAACGAATAAAACACAAGAATATTATCCTCTCCTCCCCTTAAACTCCCATAGATAGCAGAATATATCAAAATAAAGTGTAAAATCATATAACTTACAGATCAAACTAGAAAAGAATAAGCTAATCTGAATCTTCCTTCAGCGCGTTGATGCAACAATTGTATATGTCTGTTTAATGTAGTATTATTATCATATGTACAGAATTAGGTATTTGTCTGTACTTTCACGCAAGTGAAAATATCAGATTTTGAGACTTAACCAAAAAAGGACAGCTACTCCTCCTTTTCCTTTTTGGTCGTTGTTTCGATTACTGTTCTAAACTAGGATTTAGATTCAACGGCTTTTTAGTGTCCTTAAGATCCAAACCGTTGGTTAAGAATTTTCATCGACGTCTGCCATTTAGAAATTAGCCGGTGCATTCTGAATTTTAATTTTTTTTCACGACAAAAATATCCTGAATTGTCTTGAATTTAAGGTTTTTAGTTTAAAATTTTCATAACAAACTAAATAATGGGTAATTTTTAAATACTATTTGTACACTTGCCCCTTAAAATAAAATTTAACCTTATATACATGTAATTTTAGGCAAAGGGTATTCCGCCGAGATAGGAGTTGGAAGTACAAGTTACAGCCCAAAAAAGCCTAATGTACAATAGCTGGCTGACTATTTGCTGAATGTCAATATGGCCCTGACTTTAATTCATTAGTACTGACTAAATACGAGGTAATATACTTGTTGTACCACCAATTGTGTGATGGAACGATAAAATGTCTATTTGAAGTTAACCAATGTACTCAAACTTGGGAATGGAGTTTCTTTTGATATGTAACGTTTTATCATATGTGCACGTTAGCAGTGATATCTAACAATGTTATAAAATATATACTATAAGTTTTAGTAGTACAAAAATGTTATTTTAGAAAACAGTTGTATATTGCATGCCAAAATCTATACAAACAAATGTACAATGTTAACATTTCCTTGTTTGTGTCCTTGTAATGAAAGATCTAGAGGTGCATACTACACTCACAAGGGAAAGAGAAGTTGATAAAGTAGCGAGTTAAATGAGAGGTTACATATTGTCAAAAGCGAGCCAATCAACTTCTCAGTTAATAAAGAGCTTCTCTTGATGTGAGCAGAACTATCTATTTAAATTATTAAGAAAACAACATGAACATAATTGACTTTGATCAGCTTTGCCCTTTCTACCTAGAGATATAAGGTAGCATATCTTCCATTCAATGCAAAAATAGAACAAAGTAAAAAAGTAAAAAAAAAAAAAAGGAATTATTAAGAAAGCAGTCATGTGACCAGGAGGTCACGAGTTCGAGCTGTGAAAACAACCTCTTGTAAAAATGCAGGGTAAGACTGCAAATAATAGACCCTTATAGTCCGGTCCTTCCTCGGACCCGGCGCATAGTTGGCTGCCCTTTTTTTATTTATTTATTTATTAAGAAAGCAGCCCTTCATTCCTGCTTTGAGAAGTAGATTGAAGGGCTTATCTTGGTATCTGATTTGTTGCTAGTAATAACTTTTTCTGGTCAACTACGTACATCTCCATTTCTAACTTTGTTACATATAATGGACTGAATCAGGACCTAAATTCTAGTTGTAAGAATGGATATGAGTTTCTTGCACTTTCTTACTTCAAAATAACATTATCTTTACTTCTTTCAGACTAGAAGATGATCAAGCTAGACGAGGTAATAACACATTAAAGTTCCACGAAGTTGGCAACATTTACAGTGCATAAGAAATTTTGCATTTTATCATAAGAAATTCCCTGACCCAAAAATGATGAGAACAAGGGAGATGAGAATGACAACATGTTGCAACATCATGAATTAAATTTCTATGCTCCTCCAGAATCAGATGAATCCAAATTCTTCACCACCAACCCCGGGTTCTAGCTATCCTACTTCTAAAACTAAGATCTTGCAGGTTGCCTCTCCTTACTAGCAAGAGGAGAAACAAGCAACGCGATAAGAAAACCCCCTTGCCTCCACATATAAACGCAGAAGTAAAGAATAGATCCCCTCAATCTGATGAGCTGAAATGACATTGATTATGAAGGTATAACAAACAGATAAGTAAATAATGGAGAAGTAATGCACCACCACACCTAGAGGACTTAAAATTCTCAAATATTTCAACTTTCATCTAAGTCCCCGGAGAAGACACCACTGGATGGATTCAGTAATACATATCAAGCGAGGACTCCATTCTGGCAGAAAGATACGTTCTTGCAATTCAACTTCAGGAGAGTTTAGAGTGCGAAGACCTCCCATCAAAACTAGTTAGAGAGCTTAATTACAGACCCAAGGATTCATGGTCAAAACCTGATTGCCAAAAGCAACAGATTTCAATTCAATACAAAAAAACAAAAACAAAAACAAAAACTGAGCTTGTAATCTTTACGTTTCAGAACCACATGAGTCCTTCAATAATGCTAGAATAATTAAGTTAAACCTACACATGACATAATTCCAACTAGTTGGAGCAGGACTCTTAGCACTTTGAGCAACTTGAACTCCAAACTCATGTAAAGAGGGAGAAGTGAACAGAACCACATTGTCTATAAAACTGGAACTTTTACCAAGTATAACATCTTGCCAACAAGATACAGCTTATAACAAGATAAGTTCTGTAATGCTACATACATACAACTACTATCTAGTTCAAAAATCATAGATATCCAGCATCATACTGATATTTACCAACAAAATCAAACTATACTCAACATTTACCAAAACTACACTGACATCATTTTATAGATTAAGAAAAACACACACACCAAAAAGAAAGGTGTGAATGCAAAACTTTCAATACCTTCAATTAACACTATAGAAAATCATTCCTCAACTATAGAAATAAGCTAAGCTCCTTTTTGTAGGACTGCGAAATCCAACTGGGGCCAACCCTTAGTACCAACCGCAACCTTCGAAACTCGGGATAATGGGCTAACCCTTCTACCTTCCTCTACTTAAATACAAAACCTACTTAGCATGGTAAGCTATGGGGTAAAAAGCTCCAATTTTTAATCAATCATCCTCATCACTTTCATCACTAAAATAACCTTTCCTCTTTTTCTCCCTCCTTTTCTCCTTCTTAAATTCTTCATTATCATCTCCCTTCAATAACCTCTCTTCTGCTCCTCTATCCACCACAGAAGCCCAATTCTCATCATCAAAACCCTCTCCACCTTNAAAATGACCGAATTTTACCAAAAGTGTTAGACAATTATCAACTTTTAATAAGTTCAAAAAATAATTTAATTGATTAAGTTTAGATGTTAGGATATGTTAATGGTCCAAAACTTAACAAATAACAAACAACACTACTAAAAAGGATTAAAAATAATCACATACAATAAATTGTTCATAACAAATAAAATGATGGAATGTGGTTTGAGATTTTTGTAGACTCCATATGTACTAGTACATAAATTCGACAAGTATGACGATTGAATGTTTTAGAAAAGGAATGAAATATATCCAAAATTACATGAAAAGAGATTATCTTAAAAGATTTAAAATTTCTGACATCAATCCGAAACTAAGCTACGAATGGAGCACAATAAAAATAGAAGCAGAAGACTTTGGTAGGTGTCGGTGGGCACGCCTATGATAAGGGTCGGGTTAGCACCCCTCGTCGCCTCTATACATGTTTTCGAAATTTCAAGCAGGACTTGACGGAGAAAATTTTTCGAAACCGATGCATTAGCGTCTAACCGCCTAACTAGACAGGTTATCACAACAGCCTTTCAAATATGAAGCTTTTTTGGTGGGAAAAATGAGAAGCAGAAAAAAGTAATTCTTCCCAAAAGCAGAAGCAATTTTGACTTTTCTTCTTACCAAAAATATTCTTAATTAAATATAGAGTCAGTTTGGATGGGCTAAAAATCTGGTCAAACCAACTTTTAATCAGTTTTTAACTTGTGGAAGTGTTTGGCAACCTAAAAATGGCTTAAAAAAAGTTAAAATCTGCTTTAAAAAAAGTCAAAACCAATAAGTTGAAAAACCCAACTTTTTAGAAATCGGCTTAAAAGTCATATTGCTTTGACCAAGGATATTACATTCTTATCCATTATAATTTTTTTAATCCCGAAATTACCCCTAAGTAGAAAACCCTACAACATACTATCTTTTCTTTTCTCCCATAACTTTCCTCTCTTTTCCTTTCATTTCTTTCTTTACACTTTCATTCATTATTTTCCCTTCTTTTTCCTTTCCTTTCTTTCTTCCACAGTGTTGCTCCCTTCCCTGTCACATTCCTTATGTCAGTTCTAATCTTCGTTCTTCATCTTGCCTTTGCTACTGTCATTCTCCAATATTTGTCAATTTCTTGAAGTTCTTAACGTGAAGCAAACAGTAGTTTTTAAAATAATGTTTGATACATTCCAATATTTTGTAAATATTGTTCTTTTAGCTTCTTTTTTTGGTTCCCTAACATTTAATTTTTTTGGTCGTTGATTTTTTTTTTTTAATTGGTGAAACTATATTCTAAAATCAAATCATTCAATGAATTTACATGTTACCCCTGAATTTGAAGTTATGAACGGAAAATATAATATTATAGTCATCATCTTCTTTATAATGTTAACAACTTTAAGGATATTTCAGTCATTTTAACAAGAAAAAGTGCTTACCAGCACTTGTTTATCAAACACTTCATCAGCTTGTTTTCAGTTCCAGCACTTTTATCCAAACACGTAACTGCTTATTTATAAAATAAGTTGCAACACTTATAAAGTGATTTTAAGCACTTAACTTAAAAGCCATTATTTTTAAGCCAATCCAAACGGGCTCATAGTATATACCAAAATAACCGTTAAACCTAATACATAGGATATTAATGTATAAATATTTTTATTATTTTTAGGATAATTTTATAATATATAGTGACTTTAGGGGGGAATGCTTTTATATTTGTTGAATGATTTTTAATATATTTAACTTATATTAAAAGAATTAAGCACATTTAAATTTTACTTAAATAAAATGAAAAGATTTAATTATTGTCTATAATAACAAATTTTTAAGATTATTTATTTACTTATAATATTAACTATTAAGTAAATCTATTCATGTCCTTATTCGTAATTTGATACTTAAGCACTTTCTGAAATACAAATACAAATTATTGCTCAAAAGTGCTTTTCATTAGCCAAACACAAACTGTTTCTCTCCAAAAAGTACTTTTTTCGAAAGTAATTTTGAAAAAACACTTCTAAAAATAAGCTAGAGAACCAGCTTGGCCAAACAGGCTATTAGTATTGGATCAATAAATTTGAATCGAACAGAATGAACATGGATCATTCATATAGTTGAATCCAGCTTAATTTGGGACTCTTAACGTAGTTGTTGATTGATTGATTCACTACTTCAACAGCTACATAAGGAGGAGAATGCTAAGCAATATAGATATCTATTGTCCGACTATCTTCTTAGATATCCGACAATAATATATGCATATTTTCTTAAATGCCTTTTGTCTTCAGAATTTTATCACTTCTCACTGCAAGCCAGAAAGATTGTCATTGTTTCACTCAAACGGTACAGTGGCAAAGAAAGTTTGGACAACAGGACAAGGCCAAGAATCCTCAGTACCTGCTAAAGAGGCCATCTAACATGAGGATAGAGTAATATTTACAGACATCTGAATACCATGAAAAGCGTAATCAGAAATCATATTGAAGCGACCAAGTCTTCAGTCTCAGTCGTCTGCTGAGAAAGGGTGCCTCCAATCCACCTCTTGAGCATCTCTAAGGCAACTTTAGGTTGATCCATTGGAACCATGTGTCCAGCATCGTGAACCTGTTATAAGACACCAAAACAGTTAGCTCAAACATCCATCAGTAGAATTTGAACAATAACATCGACAAAGAAAGGCACCTTCAGGAAACTCAGAGGCCCATGGCTTTTCAACAATCCAGCTTCAGAACTGTCAACTTCAAAAGGAACATCGGGAGATGCTACAAACTCTTTCTGACCACTCCATTCCATAGCCTGAACCCATCTTGAGTTACCTGGTAAAAGAGAGGCGTTATAATATCCGAAATATTTATGTGAAAAGTTTCCATCATTAGGCTTAGAGTTGAGTCAAAGCTTACCAAGCCAGTTGCAAATAAGATCATATTCTCCAGCATAAACAAGCAACTTTATTCCATCCTCGAGCAAGGTTGGAATGCCAGCCTCAAGATTCCTCATCCAATCAACAAGCATGGCCTGGTACACAGTAGTGCTGCATGAGACAAACTCTATATCCTCAACTCCAAGAGCCTGCTTAACAGAGTGCATATTCAGCAATTTCTCCATGTTTGAGAAGTCATAGCAGAGTGCTCCAACGCATTTCTTTCTGATGTCGTAATGCTGCAGGTGAAAGCTCAATGGATCAGAAATATGGTTAATCAGTCATTTGTTCCAAACTTTGGAAGGCATGCCAATGACAATGTGACCTCTTGAGTAATTTAACATATTCAACATGAAATGATATGGAGTAGCGATTTAGAAGAAATAGATTTCTGGGATCATTTCTACTCTTTCTGAGGCTAGTAACACCTATTTCTCTACGAAGTACAGAATAAGTGTAATAGGCACTAGAATTAGTAGAAAACGGGAAACAGACAGAAAGGGCTGATAACTTACATTGATGTCAGCCCCAGCACGTGCACGAACAGCAGAGAATATAGAATTGCAAACAAAATAGGCAGCCAAGCAAGAGATTTTCCCATCAGTACCTAAAAGAATAAAAAAGACAGAGAAACTGAGAAGCAAAACAAAGTACAGAGAATTGATTTGCTGTGGTCAAAGAACATCCATTTACTTCATCAGCTCCTTCCCCTTTTCTTTTTCACCCAGGGAAAGCCCGAATGAGTCAAATGATATGGAGGAAAGAAAGATAGTAAACAGTAAATTAAATAATGTACCACAAAGGTTTATTGCAACTTCACAAACTGGAAGTATTTTGTTGATACGATCATGATCAGACTTTGAAATTAATCCCATGTCCAATGCATAGTCAGTATACGCAGCGTATTGTATTTTGGGATCTGTAAGCCCATTCCCAATGGCAAATCCCTGTTCAAATACTTTCAATGAAGTAAAGACACATGATTAAGGAAATAAGAATTCAATAACTGGGAAAATGAGGTACCTTTAAGTTTATATGTATTCCTTCTTTAGCCTTGTTTCCCTTGTGTACTCTAGCAGCAAAAGCAGGAATATAGTGCCCAGCATATGATTCTCCAGTTATGTAGAAGTCATTCTTTACAAGCTCAGGATGCTCTTCAAAGAAAGCCTACACCATTATTAATGATCATACCAACACAAACAAGTCAGGATCATATTATCTCTGTTACGCATCAATTTAGAAAAATGCTAACTGTGTCACATAAAAGAACGAATCTGAAATAGCCAATGTGTCACAAATGCTCAAGAGAATTCATACCACATTCGGCCTTCAGAATTTGCAAAGCAGAAAAATACAACAATAAAAGCAACATATAACAATATTTCCAACTAGAAATCTGTTGAAAAATTCACGTTCCGAATAGGTAATGTATAGTCTTAAGGCGGCTAAGCCAAGTTCTGCTAAATATTCTGGTTTAAAAGCTGTTATACATGCTAACAAAATGCATCATGAGGGAAACAACTGACCAACAAGTTACCCAGCCAAAATTCAGGGATCAGCTGCAGTTTGTAGTAAAAAACAGGAAAACCAGCCCATGAAGAAGGGTATTGAATACTGCAAAAAGGTTGAGGGACAGGGTTTTCTAGCAATGTGATCACATCTTTTGCCCCTAATGCATTTGGCAGATAAATGGAGTCAAAATATTTTAACGCCTCCATTTTTGTTGGGATCAGAACCCAGGCATCAACCAACTATCATTTCATAAGCACAATATAAGACTCAAGTCCTAGTATATGACATCTCTCCAATTATCTATATGGTAAAAGTATTAAGTGACCATGTTTCTTTTGACAAGAGTGGGTTGCTCTAGTGGTGAGCACCCTCCACTTCCAACCAAGAGGTTGTGAGTTCGAGTCACCCCAAGAGCAAGGTGGGGAGTTCTTGGAGGGAGGGAGCCTAGGGTCTATCGGAAACAGCCTCTCTACCCCAGGGTAGGGGTAAGGTCTGCGTACACACTACCCTCTCCTGACCCCACTAGTGGGATTATACTGGGTTGTTGTTGTTGTT